TACTGAGGATGATATGTTAACATATCGAAACGTCTAGTTAATTTTATTATTTTATTAATAAAATACGAAGAGAAAAAGTTCAAAAAGGTTTTTAACTTAATTATTAACTTCGTAAACAATTATAGCATTAATTATGAATTATAAGATCTTAGTAAGATAATTTTAAGAAGTGTCTACGATTTTTACTAGGGTTGTTTTGATCCTGTCAGTGCATTAGATTGCTTTAGTTCGATATGTATCTCACTACAGGAAACCAAGATACTTGGTTCTTACATATTGCAATGTATTGACGAATTTCATTTGACTAATAATGTCGGCAACCAACATTTTATTGTTTAACATAAACTTTGATCTTATGCGATATGTTTGAATTAATATTGCCTTGAAAACGTTTGTAGCACATTTGTCATTTTCGAACATATCATTCAATTCTTTAACATTTTTATCAAATTCTTTTTTCTCTTAAATAAGCAAGAATCAAAACAACATAAAAATCTATGTTCACGGATGCAAGATATACCTGATTCCTCGTCATTTTCATCCTCGCTTTTTTCCTCATTTTCATTTTGTGTTTGTATATCCTCCTTTGCTTCATGCCTGTCGTCCCATTGCATTTTGGTTTTCTTTTCATTAAATCTTTTATTCCTTAACGATTTCGCTAGACGTGATTTAAACAATTTCTAAATGAGTATGGTAGAAGATAAGTAATTAGATACGTGTTAATTCGTATAGGGAATACCATCTGTTTTTGTAATACCAATGATCGTATTTTATTTGAATACTTGTTTAATATAGAACTACATATCTTTGTGTGATATTCTCGTTTGTTAATTAAATATTGCCGATAAAATTCTCGACATGCAGTAACCATATTGCCAATAACTGAGGATATATCACCTATAAAAAAAGCAATAAAAGTAAACAAGATTCAGATTTTACTCTCACAAGACAGGAACCTTTGGACAATTTTTGCTTAATTTTTTCATGAAAATCCGGAACAGGATAAAACTGATCTTTAACCCAACTGGGAACGGTGAGAGACACCTAAAAATACGACGTGGCTTATAAAACATAAGTAATG